AGAAGTAAGTATGCGTTTTAATAAGAAATTGTAAAAATATGTTATTGATTATTTCTTTACAACTTTGTAGATTGAAATTGACATTGAAGGTTCAGATACAGTATGTTTGTTTAATACCATTAATAGTTTTTTTTTAAAATACTAAATTCTGATGTAATGTTTGATTTTAATTTTAGGTAGCAAAAATCAAAGAACGTGTAGAAGAAAAAGAAGGTATTCCACCAGCACAACAGCGTCTTATTTATGCCGGTAAACAATTGTAAGTATCAGAAAAAAAATAAGGGATTAGAAATTGTTATTGGCAAGATTATCTTACAAAATAAATCAAATTTAACTTATGATACAATAGGACCGATGACAAGACAGCTAAAGATAGCGGTATAATGGCCGGTGAAGTTCTTCATTTGGTGTTAGCTCTTCGTGGTGGAAATAATTGCTGAGGACATGTTCATTTTTCTATATATTTACTATCCTGTGCTTATTAATATTAAAGTTTGAATCGGCTGATTTTATATAATGCGATGAATATGTAATAATTAAGAATTTGTTAATTCCTAATGTTGAATTAAGAAACAAAACTTTTTGATCAAATACAAGATTAAATACTAGAATTCCATACTTTATCAACACAAAAAAAAAAACCAAAAAAAAAAATTCGTGTCATTTAGATGTAATACCTCAAAATTGTTGCCTTTTTTAAATTGGATGGTCATTATCTAAAAGATACAAATATATATCTCGTGTATTCTGAAATTTCTCCTTTATAAGATATCAGGAATAAACCTGATTATCCGCAGTTTGATTTCTTCATATGATTTTAACATTTTTGAAGATCTGTTATTGGGAGTTGGGTTGCATCAGTTTATGTAGCAATCAAGTTAAAAAAAAATTATCTAAAATTTTATCAGTCCACTTTTTGTCCTAATTCACGTCAATACTGGGTTATAAAGATGTATCGAATGTTTAAAATTTGTTCCAAGCCTGTTAACCTGGTAATATTTTATTAATGATATCATTAAAAGAACTTTCGAATATCATAATTTCGAATACATAATTTAAAAATACAAATTATAGATTTCAACCCAAACCCTTTCTCGAAGCTTTCATGCATCGAAACCAGCTTCACAAGTGATTGCCTCCCAACCATTAAGAGCAAAGGAAGCACCCGTAATAATAATATAAAATTCATATATTGCTTCGATATTATTTATTTACATATTAATTAATTGCATTGCATTTTAATCAACTAGTCTACAATTTCTAGCAAATACCCAGTCATTGATCACTCATATGATGCTATTGTTGTAGGTGCTGGAGGTTCCGGCTTGCGTGCCGCTTTTGGTCTTGCAGAGGCTGGTTTAAATACGGCGTGTATAACTAAATTATTTCCAACAAGATCACATACTGTCGCTGCACAGGTTTGTGCGAAATTCTTTATTATGATTCAATTAAACATGGCAGTTTATAAGCAAGATTCACATTGAATTATGATAACATGAAAGGGTGGTATTAATGCTGCCCTAGGGAATATTACTGAAGATGATTGGCGTTGGCATATGTATGATACTGTGAAGGGAAGTGATTGGCTTGGTGACCAAGATGCGATTCACTACATGTGTCGTGAAGCTCCAAAAACTGTTATTGAACTAGAACATTATGGTGTACCATTTTCTCGAACGGAAGATGGTAAAATTTATCAAAGAGCCTTTGGTGGACAAAGTCTAAATTTCGGTCAAGGTATGTTAACTTGATTCTTTTTTTTTTTTTTTTTTTTTTTTTTTTTAGGATTATTATACCTTTTACTCATAAGTTTTGATTTTTCCTTTTGAAAGGTGGACAGGCGTACCGTTGTGCTGCGGTCGCTGACCGTACCGGACACTCTCTTTTACATACGTTATACGGACAATCTTTAAGACATAACACTAATTTCTTTATTGAATATTTTGCCCTCGATTTATTAATGGAAGATGGTACCTGTCGTGGTGTTATTGCTCTTAATCAGGAAGACGGAACTTTACATCGATTCCGTGCTCATAAAACCGTATTAGCAACTGGTGGATATGGTCGTACTTATTTTTCGTGTACTAGTGCACACACATGTACTGGAGACGGAAACGCTATGGTTGCTCGAGCCAAGCTACCATTACAAGATTTAGAATTCGTACAATTTCATCCTACTGGCATTTATGGAGCTGGTTGTTTGATTACGGAAGGTATGTAAAATGTTTAGATCGACCCCAATTATATCTATTATACATATTAATATACATATACATACATACATACATATATGTATAGGCGCTAGAGGTGAAGGCGGCTATTTACTCAATTCAAAGGGTGAACGTTTTATGGAGCGTTATGCTCCTAGTGCAAAAGATTTAGCTTCCAGAGATGTCGTGTCACGTTCAATAACGTTGGAAATCCGTGAAGGACGTGGTGTTGGTCCTGAAGCTGATCATATTTATTTACAACTTTCGCACTTACCTGCGGAAGTTCTACACGAACGTTTACCTGGTATTTCTGAAACAGCTGCAATTTTTTCCGGCGTTGATGTAACTAAAGAACCAATTCCAGTATTACCTACTGTACATTATAATATGGGTGGTATACCTACGCGGTATACTGGTGAAGTTTTGACGATTGATGAGGTATATATGATGTTCAATTCATATGGTTTAACGCCGCCTCTCGAATTTTATTGATTAATTAAATCCTCCCACTTTACAGAAAGGAAATGACAAAATTGTTCCTGGCCTGTATGCAGCCGGCGAAGCCGCTTGCGTATCAGTTCATGGCGCCAACCGCTTAGGTGCCAATTCATTACTCGACATTGTGGTCTTCGGTCGTGCTTGTGCACACCATATCAAAGATACTTTGGAACCAGGAACACCTCACAGACCACTAGCTTCTGATGCAGGAGCTGAATCAATCGCTAATCTAGATAAACTTCGAAACGCATCTGGATCAAAGCCAACTGCAGAAATCCGCTTGGATATGCAAAAGGCTATGCAACGTGATGCCGCAGTATTCAGAACACAAGAATCTTTGGATCATGGTATATATTATCGTTATTTGATTTGTTTTGCTTTATTTATATTTTTATTGTCATTTTAACATATCTATCTTTAAAAAAAAAAATAAGGCGTCAAAAAAATTGATGAAATTTCCAAGTCATTCGAAGATGTGAAAGTTGAGGATCGATCCATGATTTGGAATTCTGATCTTATTGAAACTTTAGAATTACAGAATCTTTTGACTAATGCTGTACAGACTATGCACTCGGCATCAGTTAGAAAAGAATCACGTGGTGCTCATGCGCGAGAAGATTACCAGGTTTATAAACAATTAATAAATTTTTTAAAAAAAGAATATTGCGTAATAACATTTCTTTTTTCAACATAACAGAAACGTGACGATGAAGAATGGATGAAACACACACTATCATGGCATGATCAAATATCAGGACAAGTTAAATTAAGATATCGGCCCGTAACTAGTAAAACTTTAGATGAAAGTGAATGCGCTAGTGTGCGTATATATTTTTATTGTAAAACTTGTACAATTTTTTTCTTTTAGCTTTTTACGCCATTTAACTTATTTCCTTTTTTTACATTATAAATCTACAGGTTCCTCCAAAGGCTAGAGTATACTAAAAAAAAAAAATATGAATTTTTTGATGTTTTAAGAACTTTATTTTTTCGGTTATCAATTTTTGTCATTTCATTTTTGTTTCCAACGATGTTATTATATCAACAATCTTTCAATTCGCGATTTTATATGTTGAATTTGAGGTTTAAGTTCAGAAGCTTCATTACTTGTTATGGAAGCAGCAATAACCGCTCGAGATACTCCGCAAGCGCGTCCCAACGCAGTTTTTGAAGGAATAAAAACGTATGGAACATTCTGTTTTGTTGTAAATTAATTTACCCTTGTTAATAAATTTTTTAAAATTCAATATAAGTTCTTAAAATGATCTTTTGTCTACCTTATCTTCACATAATAATGGAAGATGTAATAAAATCTCAATTGGTTCCGTATCTGCCGTCATCACAATAAATTCAGATATTCCACGATTAAGCGTTTTAGTGGCTAAAAGTCAATTATAATGAATTATTATGCCAGATACAATCAAAAAGAATAAAAATTCTTTTTAAGGAAAATAATTAGTACCTTCATTAGCACCTTTCTTTAATTGCTTATAATGTAAAGCTTGTTGAACAAGATCAAGTATTTGGTTGGTTAAATCAGCATCAGCTAAGGGAAAAGCTTTAGGGTTGACAATTGTTGCAGCCTAATAATAAACAAAAAAAAATTTAAAAAAAAATAAAAAAAAATTTTTTTTTTTTTATTTTTTTTTCTTGATAATTTACCATCTAACAATTTTTTTTGAGGTAAAAAAAAATTTTTTTTGATGTTCATTTATATATCTAACAATTTTTTTTGAGGTAAAAAAAAATTTTTTTTTGATGTTCATTTATATATAAAATAAATATGATTACAAAAAAAAAATTTTTTTTTTTTTTTTTTTTTAATATACTTGATTTCTACCAAAAAAAATGCGTTTGGAAAAATGTTACTTTTGTTCTTCCACAATATATCCTGGTCATGGGACCATGTTTGTTAGAAACGATAGCAAGGTAATTAATTATAATTTCTCTATGGTATTACAGAAAAAATTTAAAAAGTTTTCACCAAGAATGTATTTTTTTTTTTTAGATATTTCGCTTCTGCAGAAGTAAATGTCATGCTGCCTTTAAACACAAACGTAATCCTCGCAAAGTTCGCTGGACTAAAGCATTTAGAAAGGCTGCTGGCAAAGAAATGACCATTGTATGTTATTCAATTAACGTTTCTTTTTTTTTTTTAACTTAATAATAATATTTTTTTCATTTCAGGATTCTACATTTGAATTTGAAAAACGTCGTAATGTACCAGTTCGATACGATCGGGATCTGATGGACACAACTATTAAAGCAATGAAACGAATTTCTGAAATTAAAGCCAAGCGTGAACGCGTCTTTTACAAGAACAGGTTATTAATCATTACTCATTCAGAATAATATATTTTTTTAACCAAAAAAAAGTCTTACTCAAAGCATTTGTTTATAGAATGTCTGGTAATAAGGAACGTGAAAAGGCGGAGAATATACGCGAAATTCAAAAGAATATTGAACTCGTTGGATCTTCTACCAAGATTAAAGCACAAGTTGCCAAAATTACAGAGAAATCACAACAGAATGCTGATATGGAAATTTCATAATTAAATCAAATTCAAGTATTCTGCTTAAATTTGCTTTATTATGGAATAATTATTGAAGGAAAATCATTATATTTAATAGTACGTGTTTATTAAATTTAAAAATTACAATTACAATTTACGTTAGAAGTAATATAATTAAATAATAATAATTTCTCGGATTCATTCCAATTTGCTCTTAATATTTTTGAATTTAGTCAGTTTAACCAGTCGAGATTTTTCTTTCATCGGATGTTGCATTTCCCATAATAGGTCATCGCGATATAATTGTACGGCTGATCATATATATATATATGTGAAATTAGACTTGAAAATAAATGAAACAAAAAAAAAAAATAAAAATAAAAAAAAAGGAATTTTTTTTTTCCTTACCATCTTCAATATTATAATTTGATTGTTCCATGTAAAACTTGGCTTCTATTTGGTCGATACATTTAGATTGTATCTGAAAACGTTTTACCAAGATTTTGTTCTCTTTATAAAATAAATATGCACAATAAATTTAATATATTAATTTAATATAATTGAATATCTATAATTATTACCTTCTTCCTCTGAAAGCTTCTCTGATAAAGAAGGTCCAACATAATTTGGGATTATTAAAGACGAACGAGCTATGATCTTGTCATCAAATAATCGATTTGCTTTACGAATATCTGCTATCTAATGTATAAATATATACATTAAAAGAAACATATTTAGAGAAATTCTCGGAATTTACATTGAATTCCTAATATTTTTTAAATTAAATACCTCAACTCCATAGCTAAAAGCTAACCCAATTAAAGTATCATTTTTCTTAACATAATGAATCGTGTCAAAATGACTCTTCTCTCTCAATTTATCGTTAAAAGATTTTGCTTTTAAAATGTTGGATTTATTTAAATCATTGTAAATAACTTCCTCGTATGTTGGTAACGAATCCATTTTATTTTTTGAAATATCACTTTCATAAGTCAATGCAACTTTTTGACAAAATGGGCAATACGTATAAAATCTTGGGTTGCGGTCTAAACAATTATAACAAACCCAACGATTACAGCAATTTGACAGAAATGGTGTTTCAATCGTCGTTGAAGACGACACCGAGGCAAAAAGAACATGACAAATAAGGCAGGATGTATTTTGCATAATTAAAGAAAAGGTTGAAAAGGTTTTTTTTGAAGGAAAGTGGAAAATCAATGTTTATTTATTAATAATCTTCTGCACACTGATGATCATTAAGTAACATTAAAAGATGAGGTCATTAACCTTTTTTTAAATGGCCTTTGGGTCATTTGAATTGAAATTTTATATTAATGATATCATTTAGGCATTTGAGGTAATTTTAAGGTCATAGGTCATTTGCCTAATTTTAAAATATAAATTTGGAATAATTGGTATCAAATAATGTAAAAAAATCTCACTTTTAAAGTATAAAATTTTAAATATATATGTTAGATTTATATTCTAATACTAATATTTCATTATTTAAACATCAAAAAAATTTGGTTATGCTAAAGTAAATATATATATACAGAAATTTATATATTAGTATATATAATCTTTTAAGAAAAAATTTAAAGATTATTTCTTTTTATTTTTATTTAATTAAATATAAATAATTATTTTAATAAGTTTTTAGACTTTTTTTTTTTTATAATAAAAGGATTTTTTAAATATTTAAAAAGATTGTTAGAAAAATCAGATTTTAGAAATTATTGTATTTTTATTTACTAAAAATTCAATATGTTATCTAGATAAAATTTTGATTATTAAATAAAAATATAATAAAATCTTAAATTAAATCAAAAAATTTTTAAAATTTATTTTAACATTAAAACTTTTTTTATTTAATATAAAAAAATAATTAGACTATTTAATTACTTTGAAATTAAAAATATTAATATATAAAAAAAATTATAAAATAAAATTAATTTTTTAAAAAAAAATAAACTTTTAGATAATTATAATCTATTTAATTAATTTAAATTATAAATATTTATAAAAATATAAACAAATTATGGTTTTAATTTTTTTTTATTATTTTTAAATTATTAATATTAGAATATTAATTTAAAAATTTAGATTTATTTATAAAATTTATTATTAATATTAATATTTTATTATTTTACAGTTATTTATTATGTTTATCTTATTATTCTACAGTTATTTATTATATTTTTTATAATTAATAAATAGATTTATTTTTAACTTTAATAATATAATTATAAAAAAAAAATCTTATTCATTTTTATCAATTTTATTATTTTATTTATTATTTTTTCTAATACTTTTTTTTTAATATTACTAATATTATAATTTTTATATATATAATATTTCTATTTAATAATTTTATTTAAATCAAAAATTAAATTATTTTTATTAATATGAGTTATTTTTATAATTTATTAACTATAAATATTATTTTTTATAAATAAATTAATAAATAATATAAATTCTTTTAAAATTATATTAAAAAATTTTAGTATTTATATTAAATTTTGTCATTTTTTTTTAGCAGATTCAGTAATCAATCTTTAATAAAATAAAATATCAATTTAATTAATATAGAAAATATTATAAATCTATTATATAAGATGTTAAAAACTTATCAGTTAGAATTACAAATTATTAAGTTTTAGAAATTAATAAAAAAAATTTAGTAAAAAAATTTGCAATTAATAATTATGTTATAGATAATATAGTAACTTATAATATACAATTAAAATAATATATTCTGTTAATTTTAAAATCTTAAAACTATTAATAATGCTTATTTTTAAGTACAGTCAACCCTTTTTAAATGCAAGCTAATTTGTATAAAAGATATCTAATACTATAAATAATTATAAAGATATTACAATTCTTATTTTTTTTAAAATTTATAAATTGTATTTGAAACAAATTATCTTTGATATATATATTTCTTTTTTTAATATTATATTATCTTAAATACTTATCAATAATAATTTTATTATTTAAATATTGAAGAATAAATTAAATAAGTTAAAAAATCTATTATAAATCTATTAAATTAAATAATATAAATATTTTATATTAATTATATTTTTTTATTTTAGATCTTTTAATAATAATAATAAAGGTAATATTTAATTTTTTTGTATTTAAAAAATATAAAGTCAAATATATATTATTAAGTTTATATTTAATAATTATAATGCTTCTTATTCAATCATCGATGTACTCACCTAAGCTTAAACAATTATAATCCACATTTATTGATGCTACAGCTTTAACATTTTACATTAATAGCTCCTTAATAAGACTTCAAACGGACAACTGTAAAATGGGATTTGGTTGGATTTGCTTACATTCAGACAATGGTCCACTTACCTTCAAAGCCTCACTTACAAATTGGCCCTCTTCCACGCACGCTGAAATATATGCTCTCCT